TTTCTTTCTCTTTTTTTTAATATTTTTTTATTTATTTCTAGGAGAGAGAGAGAGACAGCGTGAGCAGGGGAGGGTCAGAGAGAGAGGGAGACACAGACTCTGAAACAGGCTCCAGGCTCTGAGCTGGCAGTCAGCACAGAGCCCGACGCGGGGCTCGAACCCATGAACCGCGAGATCACGACCTAAGCGAAAGTCGGACGCCCAACCGACTCAGCCACCCAGGCGCCCCGAGAAACTGTTTCCATGGAGTGATCAAGTGTCTAATCCTGCTGAGCAGATGAGTTAGAAAAGGGCTAAGAAGTGTCCATGGGATTCAGCAATCTGCAAGTCCTTGGAGATATTGTCTAGAGAAGTTTTGATATACAACCACGGGTTTAGAAGTTTGACATGATGACTGTGGGGGCGGGGGGGATAAGAGAGAATTTAAAGACAGTATATACAAGAAGTGAAAAGAAATTGACTGGAAAGTCAATTAATTTTGTTTTTAAAAAAGTCCACAAATTTGGCCAGATTAAGCTCACTACTAAATTAAAACAGAAAACTTGTGCTGAGAGGCGCCAGACGGCTAGAGGTATGGAGGAAATGAGTAACCAACATGACTCATTCAATTAGAGAGTTTGCTAATTAAAGAAAGAGGTAGTAAGTGCGTGGTAATTTGCAAGATCTAAGGGGAAAGCAAATGTGATTGTTTTAATCTGTTAAATCTGTGCAGTAAAATGGATAGAGAAGAGGCCGAATGGGGTTCTTGAAAGGTTAGAGGCCATGTGAAGAAAAAGCAAAGGTGAAGGAATGGACTCTAGGAAAGAAATACTTTTTCCTCTGAAACCATAGGGACAGGTGAGAAGGTATCTGTTCACCAGGGTTTCTCAGTCTCAGAACTATTGACATTTTGAGCTGAATAAGTCTTTGTTGTGGGAGAGCTGTTCCACGCATTTTAGGACATTTAGTATCCCTGACCCCTACCCACTAGATGCCCGTAGCACTCCCTCCCATTGTGACAGCCCCAATGTCCCCTGGGAGGAAAATCACCTTGGCTGAGAACAATGATACCGAGATATATTGAAAAGAAGAGAATTTCACTGTTGAGCTCAGAGTCCTAAGAGGAACTGGAATGGTAACTGCATACAAAGCATTAGAACGGGCTGGACAATTAAGAAAACTTCTGGAAATAATTTTTTTTAAGTTCATTTGAGAGAACATATGTACACACGCACACATGCAAGTGGGGAAGTGGGGGAGAGAGAGGGAGAGAGGGAAAGAAAGAATCCTAAGCAGGCTCCACACTGAGCACTAAGCCCTACACAGGGCTCAATCTCAGGCTCATGAGATCATGACCAGAGACAAAATCAAGAGTCAGATGCTTAACCAACTGAGCCACCCAGAGGCCCCTGGAAAGAATTTTTAATAACAATAGATACTGTGGAGGCTTTGTTCTATGTCAGTTTAGCTCATGGACAGTGTGAATGCTAGAATCCCTTTTCCTGTATGGCTCCAGATTCACACTGACCACAAGAGACATTTTACATGAGAATTGGAAAGTGGAAGGGAGTCAACCACCACATTGCTTTCACACCCAGAAGCCTGGCACAGAGCACACGCACCATTGCAATGTCTACTGCAGCCCATGCAGAGCCATTAATCTGCTGACTCATCCTGGAGCGAGGCCACGATCCCTCCAGATGCCTCTGGATGCCATCCCTCCTCTTCTCACACTTGGGGCTGGGTGCCTCTTTTGCTCTGGGAGGATGGGTGTACTGGTCCCCCAGGTCACCTACCTCATTGAAGTTGGAGACTTGGAAGCCATGAGAAACCCTCATGGGATCCATTTCCTGTCTTAGGGCTCCAGCCCAGCCTTGCCATACCATTTTATGCTTACTCTCCCCTGCTCCCAGTCCGTCCCTCTTCCTAACTGTCATTCCTGTGGGCTCCAAGCTGCAGTGTCCAACACAGAAACAAAACTGTACCTAACCTCTTTAATGAGATCTCTCAGTTGTCTGAGGTGAAATCTCTCCAACAAATCCCACATTCTACACCACTTACTTCCTAGTGCCTGTATGTCAGGTATAACAATGCTATAAACTATGTTTTATTTTACAGGTGAGGACACTGACACATGAGAAGACTAATTCCAGCAAGTCTCACATTTAGTAAGTGACAGGCATAGAGTTTGATCAACATCTACCTTCCTTTAAAATCCTCTCTCCCTCCACCATATTGGTCTACAATGCTGTCAATGGCTGTAGGAGGTAAAAAGGAGTAGAACCTTTTAAATTTATTGACCTTGACCTGTTGACAAATGACTCTTTATTGTATTCTAGTAAGGGTTTTGAAGGGGCACCTGGGTGGCTCAGTTGATGGAGCATCCGACTTCAGCTCAGGTCACAGTCTCACAGTTCATGAGTTCAAGCCCCACATCAGGCTCACTGCTATCAGCACAGAGCCCACTCTAGACCCTCTGTCCCCCTCTCTCTCTGTTCCTCCCCCACTCTTGCTCTCTCTCTCAAAAAACAGATGATAAATAGATGATAGATAGATAGATAGATAGATACATCGATAAGTAAAGCTCTTTTCAAGATAGCACTTAATGATGTATTAGAGGTAGGAGATACAAAACTTAAAGATAAAATTTACTTGCTCTTCACAGATATAAAACAAGAATAGTTTAAGCTTCCCATCTTTTATTACTACATAATGCTTATGAGACACTAACATTTGGTGGCAGCAGATGTCCTAAAAGTTTAGAAGGGACCTTAATCAACCCATCAACATTCAGTTTAATCAGGACTAGGAAAGAGCCATCAGGGGTTTTATGACTATTCTTGTGCCACCATCAATGCCCTGGCTCTAACTTCTTGCCTCTCAATACCCCAGGCAGAGCTTCTCAGCCTTTCCCTCCCTAAGTTATACTTACAGTAACAAAGCAGCCATGTTCACAGTACACATAGATTGTGGCAATAGGCCAAGATAGAACGTGTCTTGATTTTTATTTGCTGGTGTTGTACAAATCAGCAGCATAACCACCCAGGCGTTGATGAAAACATATTGGGTTCTCTGGGTGAACAATCTCAGATGTACATATCTCTTGTGTCTGCTGTTGAGTATAAAGGCCTAAGGTACAGGGATCAAATCTGTGAACCATTTTCCCAATAAGGCTAGAATCACAGAATATCAACATTGGAAGAGATTTTTTTTTTCGGGTCACCTAACCCATATCCATTCCAAATGGATGAATCCATTCTAAAACAAACCTAGCAGTCATCCATGGTCTTTTTACACTCCAAAACACCAGAGTTACCCAACTCAAAGGAGAGCTCACATTGTCCTCTGATAGCTAACAGCTAGGATGCACTTCCTTCTTTGAACTAGACTATATTTGCCTAAGATTATGACCCAAGGGTATTAGAAAAGTCATTTTGCCTCATTTGGAGTATTTGCCTCCACCCAGCATGTGCCATATTTAGTATTTAATGCATGATCTGTTGTTATAATAATGGCAATAATAATGAGATTGATATTAAACCAGCTAGTTTCCTTTTTTAAATTTTGTTTAAATTTTTTAAAAAAATGTTTATAAAGAGAGAGACAGCGCGTGCACAATCAGAGGAGAGAGACAGAAGGAGAGGGAGAGAGAACCTTAAGCAGGCTCCATGGTCAGAGAGGAGCCTGATGCAGGGCTTCATCCAAAGACCCTCAAATCATGACCTGAACCAATATCAGGAGTCCGACACTTACCCAACTGAGCTACCCAGGCACCGTTAAACCAGCTACTTTCTAAACCAGTTCGATCCATCAGTAAAATTTTCGTTAACTTGACTACTGGAAGCATAAATGATTATTGCTTTTGTCATAAGTTTTTTCACTTTACACTCGAGTAGCATTATGGTTATACAAGCTCAAAACAGGTAATAATTATTTTAGTAGTCATTTCAAAAAGCTCTTTTCCATGATTTCCACAGAAAATTATTCACTTGAACAAAGTTTTTTTACCGTTATAGTAAATATAGGATATCTGGCTTTTTACCTTCTAAAAATAAGCTTAGTATTCCAGCCCACTCTAAGATCGCAGTTCTATTACCTGAGAACAGGATAAAAGTCTGAAATAGAATATCTTCATCAAAGAGGGTGTTCAAGATGGCAGAATAGGAGGACACCAAGCTTCCCTCACCCCACGTATGCAATTAGATGTCACTCACATCTGAGTAAATGCGAGTCATCCGAAGACCGGCAGAACAAATGCCACTACTAAAGGTAGGGAAGAAGCCACAGAGAGGTTAGGAAAAATAGAAAGCGTGGTCAGGAGCTGCCCGCAAGAGGGAAGGAGCTGGGTGGCAGAGAGGGGAAAGCACCAGGAGCCCACAGAGCAAAAACAAATGCCCATAATATCTGGCCTCGAAAACCAGAGGGGCTGACTTCTGTGAGTTTGTATAACCGGGGAGACTCGGAGCCTGGAGCTTGAAAGTCAGCTGACTCAGCATCTGGCAAGCCGGGAGGGTGAATGATAGCTAATGATAGCAGAGTCTGCCTTTAAGGAGACAATGGCCAGAAGGTGGGCAACTTAGAAGCCACAGCTTGTGCAAGGAGAGAGAGATCAGCTTACACTAATTCGACTGTGTTGGGGGCCTTCTCTGGAAACAAAGGAGCTGGCGGGCGCTATTTTCCTCCCCCAAACCCCCAGCATAAAGCTGTGGAAAGAGCGCTGCAAAGACACTTGCCACCTCACCTGCTAGCACTGCATGCTGCCCATGAGTTGTCCTGAGAGCTCACCCGCTCACAGCCTGCTGGCCTCAGCCCTGGGCTCAGTGCAAAATTTTCTGAACACCATGTGCCGTTCCCTGCCCAACTGCCGTGAGCACAGATGCCGCATGGCCCCGGCTGCCACCACTGCCATCGTGTGCCGAGTCCTCGGCAGCTACTGGGCTGCGGGGGATGCTATCTAGGCCTAGTGGCTCGGTGCAAATTTTGCCAACACCGCTGCCCCGCCCCTAAGCACTTCCGCCATCATGCCCCCTCAGAGCATGCGTCTCACCAACACCACAGAAAGCAAGCACAGCCCACAACAAAGAATCGCTACAGATGTCTGGACTGAAAGGAAAGGTGACTCTGACTAAATAGCAGGACACAAGCAACACACTTAGGAGACTCCCCTGTGGTGTCAGGTTCTGGTGAACAGGGGACACTGCCCTGCGGGGCACTACAGGACCTCTTCTATAGGAGGCCACTACTTTCAAGAACAGAAGACACAGCTGACTTTCCTAACACACAGAAACAGACACAGACAGGTACACAAAATGAGGAAACAGGGAAATAGGCCCCAAAGGAAAGAACAGGACAAAATCACACCAGGAGATCTAAACAAAAGAAAAATAAGTAATATGCTTGGTACAGAATGTAAAGTAATGATCATAAAGATACTCACTGAACTTCAGAAAAGGGTGGAGGACATCAGTGAGACCCTTAACAAAGAGATAAAAAATAATATATCACAGATGAAGAACTCAGTAAATGAAATTACAAATATACGAGATGAAATAAATAGTAGGCTACGGGAAGCAAAGGAATATATCAGTCACCTGGAGGAGAGTCACCTGGATCAAGCTGAACAGATGAGAGACAAATACTGCAGAATGAGAATAGACTTAGAGAACTCAGTGACTCCATCAAGTGTAATAACATTCACATTATAAGAAAAGAGTTGGGGAGCGCGAAAAACGTATTTGAAGAAATAATAGCTAAAAACTTCCCAAACCTGGAGACAGAAACAAATATTGAGATTCAGGAGGCACAGAGATCTCCCAGCAAATTCAGCCCAAGGAAGTCCACACCAAGATACATAGTAATTAAAATAGCAAATAGTGATGAAGAATTTTAAAGTTTGCGAGAGAAAAGAAGACAGTTATATGCAAGGGTAAACCATATAAGGCTATCAGTTGATTTTTTTGGCAGAAATTTTGCAAGCCAGAAGGAAGAGTCATCATGTATTCAAAGTGCTGAAAGAGAAAAATCTTCAGTGAAGAATATTCTATCCAGCAAAGCTAACATTCAGAATAGGAGAGATAAAGCATTTCCCAGACAAACAAAAGTTAAAAGCATTCGTGACCACTAAATCAGCCTCACAAGAAATGTAAAGAGGGACTCTGGGAGTGGAAAATAAAAACCATAAGTAGAGTAAGAAAAATGTGAAGCACAAAAGTAAAAAAAAAAATAATAAGTATGTCTCTAAAAATTGGTCAAGAGAAGTACAAAATTGAAGGATACAAAAGAGGACACCAAATATCTGAAACATGGAGGGGAGAGGAGTAAAGAATGACCTCAAAATTAAGCAACCATAAGTTTAATATAAACTGCTATATACAAAAGATATTATACATATCAAATGGTAGCCACAAATAGAAAAACAATAATAGACACGCAAAAAATAAAAAATAAGGAACCCAAGTATAAAAAATAACAAACATAAAACCATGAAAGAGAAGAACGGATCAGAGGAAAACTACAGAAACAACCACAAAACAAGTAACAAAATGGCAATAAATACATATCTATCAATAATTACTGTGAATGTAAATGGACTAAATGCTCCAGTGAAAAGACATAGGGAGCAGAATGGATTAAAAAAAAAAAAAGGGTCACTTGGGTGGCTCAGTCGGCTAAACAGCCAACTTCAGCTCAAGTCATGATCACACGTTCATGGGTTTGTGCCCCATGTCAGGCTTTGTGCTGACAGCTCAGAGCCTGGAGCCTGCTTCTGATTCTGTGTCTCCCTCTCTCTCTGACCCTCCCCTGCTCACACTCTGTGTGTGTCTCTTTCTCAAAAATAAATAAGCATTAAAAAAATTTTTTTAAAAACATGGGGCACCTGGGGAGCCTGGGTGGCTCAGTTGGTTAAGCGTCCAACCTCGGCTCAGGTCATGATCTCACGGTTCGTGGGTTCAAGCCCCGCATCGGGCTCTGTGCTGACTGCCGGCTCAGAGCCTGGAGCCTGTTTCAGATTCTGTGTCTCCCTCTCTCTCTGACCCTCCCCTGCTCACGCTGTCTCTCTCTCTCTCTCTCTCTCTCTCTCTGTCAGAAATAAATAAAACATTAAAAAAATATTTAATTAAAAAAAAAAACAACACAAGACCCACCTATATGCTGCCCACAAGAGACTCATTTTAGACCTAAAGACACCTGCAGATTAAAAGTGAAGGGATGGAGAAACATTTGTCATGCTAATGGATGTCAAAAAAAAGCTAGAGAAGCAATACTTATATTGGACAAAATAGACTTTAAAACAAAGATTGTAACAAGAAAACAAATAAATAAAGTAAAGCAAAGACTGTAACTAGAGACAAAAAGGATAATATATAATCATAATGGAGACAACCCAAGAAGGTATAACAATTATAAATATGTATATACGCAACATGAAAGCATCCAAATACATAAAACAGTTAATAAAAAACATAAAGGAACCAACCAATGATAATATAATAATAATAGGGGCCTTTAACACCCATTTAAATCAAAGGACAGATCATCCAAACACAAAATCCACAAGGCTACAGTGGCTTTGAATAACACACTGGACGAGACATTTTAGCAGCCATGTTCAGAACATTTCATCGTAAAACAGCGAATACACATTTGAATTCGAATTACAGAGAATTCACAAGGGCACATGGAACATTCTCCGAATAGATGACATCTCGGCCCACAAAACAAGCCTCAACAAATTCAAGAAGATCTAAGTCATACCATGCATCTTTTCTTCTCACAATGCTATAAAACTGGCAGTCAACCACAGGAAAAACTCTGGAAAGACCACAAATACATGCAGGTTACACAATATACAACTAAACAATGAATGGGTCAACCAGGAAATAAAAGAATAAATAACAATTATATGGAAACAAATGAAAATGAAAATGCAACCGTCCAAAACCTTTGGGATGCAGCAAAAGCAGTTCTAAGAGGGACGTTTATGGCAACACAGGCATATCTCAAGAAGCAAGAAGATCTCAAATAAACAACCTAACTTAACACAAAAAAGAGCTAGAAAAAGAGCAACAAACAAAACTCAAAACCAGCAGAAAGAAGAAAATAATAAAAATTAGAGCAGAATTGATGATATAGAAACTAAAAAACAGATCAACAAAACCAGGAGCTGGTTGTTTAAAAAGATCAGCAAAATTGATAAACCTCTAGCCAGACTCATGGAAAGAAAGAAAGAAAGAAAGAAAGAAAGAAAGAAAGAAAGAAAGAAAGAAAGAAGGAAGGAAGGAAGGAAGGAAGGAAGGAAGGAAGGAAGGAAGGAAGGAAGGAAGAGAAGGGAAGAAAGAAAAAGAAAGATTAGAAAGAGGATTCAAATAAACAAAATCACAAATTAGAGAGGAGAAATAACAACCAACACCACAGAAATACAAAGAATTGTAAGAGAATATCATGAAAAACTATATGCCAACAAATTAGACAACCCAGAATAAATGGTAAATTCCTAGAAACATATAACCTACCAAAACTGAAGCAGGAAGAAACAGAAATTTGAACAGACCAATGACCAGCAAGGAGACTGATTCAGTAATCAAAACATTCTCAACAGACAAAACTCCAGGACCAGATGGCTTCACAGGTGAATTCTACCAAACATTTAAAGAAAAGTTAATACCTATTCTACTCAAACTTTTCCAAAAAAGAGAAGGAAAATACTGAAAGTCATTCTATGAAACAAATATCACCCTGTTGCCAAGATCAGATAAAGATACCAGAAAAAAAGAGAATTACAGGCCTCTATCTCTGATGAATATAGATGCAAAAATCCTCAACCAAACACTAGCAAACAGAGTCCAACAATATACTTTTCAAAACCCTCACCACAATCAAGTGAGATTTATTCTCAGGATACAGGTGTGGTTGAATATTCTCAAATCAATCAACATGATACATCACATCAATAAGAGAAAGGATAAAAATCATATGATCATCTCAATAGATGCAGAAAAACATTTGACAAAATACAACATCCATTCCTGATTAAAGCCCTCAACAAAGTAGGTTTAAAGGGAACATACCTCACATTAATAAAGGCCATATATGAAAAAACCACAATGAACATCATACTCAATGGGGAAAATTTGAAAGCTTTCCCCCTAAAGTCAAGAATAAGACAAGAATGTCCACTCACCACTTTTATTCAACATAGTATTGCAAGTCTGAACCACGGCAATCAAACAACAAAAAGAAATGAAAGGCATCTAAGTCTGTAAGGAAGAAGTAAAACTTCTATTTGCATATGACATGATACTATATATAGAAAACCCTAAAGACTCCACGAAAAAGCTGTTAGAACTGATAAACAAATTTAGTAAAATCACAGGATACAAATCAATGTGCAAAAATCTGTTAAATTTCTATACACCAATACTGAAGCAACAGAAGAGAAATTAAGAAAATAATCTCATTTGCAATTGCCCCCAAAATAAGATACCTGGGAATAAACCTAACCAAAGGAGGAAAACACCTATATTCTGAAAACTATTTAAAAAAAAACTGATAAAAGAAATTGAAGAAGACACAAATAAATGGAAAGATATTCCATGCTCATGGGTTGGAAGAATAAATATCGTCAAAATGTCTACACTACCCAAAGCAATCTACACATTTAATGCAATCCCTATCACAGTACCAACAGCATTTTTCACCAAGTTAGAACAAATAATCCTGAAACATGTATGGAACAGCATAAGACCCCTGATAGCTAAAGCAATCTTGAAAAAGAAAAGCAAAGCAGGAGGCATCACAATCCCAGACCTCAAGTTTTATTGCAAAGCTGTAGTAATCAAAACAGTATGGCACTGGCACAAAAATGGACACATAGATCAATGGAACACAACAGAAAGCCCATAAATAAACCCACAACTATGTAGTCAATTAATCTTCAACAAATCAGGACAGAATATCCAAAGGAAAAAGATATAGTCTCTTCAACAAGTGGTGTTAGGAAAACTGGACAGCAATATGCAAAAGAATGAAACTGGACCACTTTCTTACACCATATACAAAAACAAAGTCAAAATGGATGAAAGACCAAAATGTGAGACCTGAAACCATAAAAATCC